CCCCCCCCATGAACTCACTCCATTTTGTCAATGTCCTTTTTAGACTCTGCTGCCCCAAACTGGACACAGTGTTCACAGTGGGACCTCACTGATGCAGAGTGGAGTAGGATGAATACTTCTTGTGCTATTAGCTGTATGTTCCTCTTAATACACCCCAAAGTAGCATTTGCCTGATAAGTAATATATCACACCATTGGCTCATGGTCAACTTGTGATCTACTAGAAGACTTCTATCCTTTTCACATGTACTACTGCCAAGCCAAGTCACTTCCATCCTGTGCTTTTCATTTCCCCCCCAGCTGTAGGACTTCACATTTCTTCTTGTTTTTCTGTACCTTATGCATTTTCAATTTACAAATGTTATTTATGATATTTTAAACTGATTTCTGACTGATAATGGAACTGGAACTTCACATTTCTTCTTGTTTTTCTGTACCTTATGCATTTTCAATTTACAAATGTTATTTATGATATTTTAAACTGATTTCTGACTGATAATGGAACTGGATGCTTAGATTATAAAGTGCCATGGGAAGACTGTATTTCTTAAATGTGGCTATGACGTATGGTAAATAAATAAATGTGAGCTACAGTTCTACTGCTGTCATTCAAACTGTCCAACTTGGTTATAAAATGGGAAAAGGTTCGACTCTTTGGCACTTGGAAGTGATAAGGCAGAAACAGAAACTCTCCTGCATGCCATATTTGCTTTGAAATTATTTGTGTAGCCCATTTGTAGTCTGTTAGCCAGATTAAAGCTTTGACTGAGGATTCAAAAATTAAGCCATCTTTTATTCTTCCAGCATTACCTATCTGAGGGTTCTTCAGGAGATATGGAAGCTGTCAAATTGTCTGAATGGAGCAAGAAAGCTCCATCCAGACGGTACTCATTTGTAATTAATTCACAGCTCATCAATATTGGTGTCTATTAAAATGTTACTCTTTTCTTTTTAAAAAAAAAAAAAACAAGACCGAAAATTAGATGTATTCAGCTTACAGATGGGTATCTACTAAGGGGGGCAAAGGAGGGCAAATGATGTCATGTGCATGATTTCATCATACAAATGCTATGACTCATGTATTTGTGTCAGATGTTATGATGCAAGTTTATAACCACCATTTGTGTGATGGCATGATATACATCATTTTGAGGTCTCCACAGTTTCTTACAGAAGCTGCTGAGCACACGGCTTCTAAGTGTCTAGCGTCATACCCTTTCATAAAAGGTGAAGTGCTTTTCAGTTTGGAAGTCAACATACAGACATTTGGCGGTTCTATATAAAGCCCTTTTTATATATCCCTAGCCATGCGTTTAAAGTAAAAGAAAAGGAAAGTATTTAAATTCTAAAACATGAGCCTGCAAGTTTCCAGAATCACTGAATTTAGCAGCTCTGACTGTCTGGAGACAAAACTGAGTTCTGCTGGATATAATTTTTTTTTTTAAATTAACTTCTGCAACTTCTACAATAACATGTTGCTTGCTTTTATGAAGGTGAGAGTCAATGTCTCTTCTGTAAGAGGCTTCTTGCAAATAAAAGCTTAAAGAGTCTAGATCAGCAAGTGTATGTATCAGATGCTTGAGGCAGAAGTAGAAATATATACTAAGGAAGATGATGAGTTCTTCCCCTGCACCATTCCTAAAGCTGCTTACTCCTGTCATTGGACGTTGCTTCCAAATATGCATCCAATTCACTGCTGATCTCCAACAGGGCCTGAATTATATTTCTACGAAAATTATTGTTTATAGCCGAGTGGATTCACTGTTTTCCAGAGAAAGGGGAAATTTCTGATTTTTATTGCCAAATAATTTCCAGCTAATTCAGGTGAACATACAGATGCATGCAAAGTTTGGGCACCCTTAATCAAATTGTGTATTTTAATGAATCCCGAGGTGAACAGAAGATAATGCAACCTCTACACAGAGCAAAGTTAAACACTACATCTTTCCACAAATTTGAATGCATGCTTACTATTTATGTTGCTTACTGGTTTTTTACAGTTTCAGAATAAAAAGCTCAAGAAATTCAGACAACTTTCCAGTCAGTTCTTTGTCACACCCCTTTAGCAAAAGTAACAGCTTCCAAACATTTCTTGAATTCAGCTAAGAAGCTTTCTCTTCTTCCTTTTGGGATTTTTTCCCCCACTCTTCCTTGCACAATTTTCCATCACAGAAATATTCACAGCTCTCCTTGCACGTCCTGCACGCTTGAGATGTTACCACAAATTTTCAATATTATTCAACTGGGGCCTGTAAAGGCAACAATCCAAAGGATACTTCAAAATAAACTGTGAAGGACTTACAAAGGAAAGACAGATGAAAATTTTAGAACGGCTTTCACAGGTCCCAGCCATGAATATTACTGAAAATCTGTTGGGGGATCTTAAACATGTAGCAAGAATATTTCTAAGAATTCTGCAAGGAAAAATGGGGGGAAATTCCAAATGCAAGAGGAGAAGCTGGCTAGGAGAACATTTAGAATCTGCTATTTCTGCCAAAGGAGGTGTTTCAAATTAGTGAATGAAAAGGTGTCCAAACTTTTGTACCTGTCCCATTCACTGTTCTTTTATTTTTAATCTTTAAACCTGTGCACGTAAATAGTAAATATGCAATTACGTTTGTTAATTTTGTTCCACACAGAGATTGTGTCAACTGCTGTTCACTTGATTGATTGATTATGTGCCATCAAGTCAGTGTTGACTCTTAGCAACCAGATAGATAGATTTTCTCCATGACAGTCTGTCCCTAACCTGGTCTTTTAGGTCTTCCAACAGTGCACCCATCACCACTGTAACTGAGTTCATCCACCTTGCTGCTGGCCATCCTCTTCTTCTATTTCCTTCCACCTTTCCCAGCATTAGAGCCTTCTCCAGAGAGCTGGGTCTTCACATAATGGCCCAAAGAAGGGTAATTTGAGCCTGGTCATTTGTGCCTCGAGTGAGAACTCTGGGTTGATTTGTTCAATGATCCATCAGTTTGTTTTCTTGGCTGACTGTCCAATTAGGGATTCAATAAAATACACAGTTTGACCAAAACCTTTGCATCGTGCTGTACATCTTTTTTCAGGGTCCTTATTCAATCATATGAAAATTAAGAGATTATACTGTGGGAAAAATTATCCCAAATTGTCATTTCATTTAGCAAAAATGTACAGGCATTTTAGTTATATCACTAGAGAAGGCATTGTTATCCTGGACCAGGCTAGCAAACTCAGAAGTGTAACACTATGTATTTGTAGGGTTTTTTAAATTCCTCACATTTCTTAACAAACAAAAGCAAAGTAACAATTAAAATTAAATTCAGAAAAGCAGAGAGACAGTCCACCTCTGTTGTTAAATAATTTGTTAGAAAGATGAACACGTCTTGCATATTCCCCTTCATGTGCTAGGAAATTGGAAGCTTCCACTTTTGGTTTGGAAATGACCACAATTCTCTGTTATATTCAAACATGGGTCTATTTTAACTAACCACAATTAGAAAAAGCCACATTACCCATGTTTGTACATAATGGAGAAAGGCAGATGGCTCACCTAAAACTGAGGTTCTTCTAATAATCATCTGCACAGAAGCATGTTCCTCTCCTCTTACACATGGCAGAGGAGGAAGGAAAACAAGCAAGCCCAAGGTGGTATAAAATTGTTTGGAAGATGAAGCTTGCACAACTTAATTGTCTTCTTGTTTGCTATCTGACCACTGTGAATCCAGTAAGTGAGAATGAAAAGTAGGGGGAAGAAGGGAAGAGAAGATGCAAAGTCATTGTAGGGAAGGAACAATGTTTCAAAATAAACATGTTTTAACTATATTTGAATAAAAATGAT